CGAGGTCGAAGGACAAGGAGAAAAATATTCATCAGCTCGGTGCTAAAATGACACAATACAAGGTACATACCTTTGCATTTGAAAGTCACTCCCAGGGTCGACATGTCAGCTCCATCCTGGGGGAAATGAGCAAAAGAAAGTGGAAGGTGAGAAAGAGCCGATGACTGGCCGCGCTAAACGTACCTTCTCCCGTACCCGATGGCTCCATGCGCTCCGCCGACAGCACAGGCGCCGCCGGCCGTGGGCGCGTGAGCGAGTCGGCGGTGAAGCCGTGTAACGAAGAGGCGGGGACAGCGGGCGGCCAGGCTGGCAGTCGCCAGTCGCGAGGAGAGAGGGACCTGGAGGCGACGGTAAAAGGGTACGACATGGAACGACGGAACGCAAAAACTTACATAAAGTCACTCGAGCGCAGACGAATGGAACGCGTCGTCATACGGGCCGCGGCGCACTATCTTCCAGCTTCAAGTCTGCGACCGCGGCGGGGAACGTCGCGAGGCCCCAGTTGAGCAGAAGCGCACGTAGTTGATGCGCCTGCGGGAAGTTAAGGGCGTTAGCGAGTGCGAAGACGAGAGTCGAGAGGGAGAGGGAGAGCGAGCAGCGGCGAGAGGTGGGCCTAAGCGAGGGGTGAAAGACATAGAGTGAAGGAAGGAGGGGAACAAAGCAGAGGAGGACAAGGGTGGAGGGATCAATGGATGGACAATGAATGACGGCTCGGGCGAGCCTGCCGCAAAGGAGTATGACATAGAGTCAGGCAAGAGGTGAAGGAAAAGGAGGAGCGAGGAGAGGAAGGAAGGAAAGAAGGAGAAAGACAACACAAGGGCAACCAGGTGTGCATAATAAATGTACGTGCCTTGTCACCATCCACTGCGCGCCTCGCACTCCCCCAGTTGCGACGCGTACGACAAATACAAGCTCCTCCCTCCGTTCGTTAGTGCGGTGGGCACGTGGGTGCGCTCCATTTAGGCTCTCGTAACAGCCCTGGACATGGCGCAGAGTTAGTCGAGGTGGAAGAGATGAAGGAAAGCCAAGGAGGGGGAGGCGTCGGGAGCGCGTGCGGATGGATGGTGTAAAGGCCAATGAGCAAAGCTGCGGAACCCCGGTGGGAGCATCAACGCAGGCATCGCTCATTGGGCAACGAGGGCAGAAATGGGCAAAAGAGGAGGGAGCAAGGAGCGATGAGAAGGAAGATAAAAAAAGGCCAGCCACTCACTAACTTCATCAGGCTGCACAGTAGCCTGCCTTCCAAACGAGTCTGAGGTGGTGAAAGTGGACATGGGGGATAATATTCGAGAGCGCTGCGATGTGCGAAAGTGTTAGCGCAGAAACCTTGAAAGCACAATGAAACCTAGCAAGAATGTTGGCGGTGACAAACGAGTGGGCCGTGGGTCTTCCGACGCGACCTTTGGTGTCCAAAGCATGAAATGGAACTAGGAGAAGTGTATTTGAGGGCTGAATAGGCTTCGAAAGACGTAGGAAGAGACTTACGCGCCCTTGTTGATGAAAGTCGTCCTTCGCCGATTACGGAGCTGGGGCTGGTAAAGAGGGGTCAAAAAGCGGGGAAGGTATGAAGTATAGATGTACTGACCTGCTGAGACACACTTGAGGCCCCGATGAGGACGTTGCGGCGGTCGGCGAACACGACAGTGGAGGGAAAGAGAAAGGAGCGGCGCACACGTGATCGATAAATATCAACAAACAAGGCCGTTGGCGTGTTTCAAACAGCGGCCTCGGTGGCCTCAAGACTTATGCAGGTATAATTTCGCATATTGACTGACTCAGTCGGGCTGCCATCGCATCCGAGAATCTCCCCAGAATTTTTCAAGCAATTAATCAACATAATTCTGTGGAATTAAAACTACAATGCGGTGTTTTTCGATACATAGAAAACAATACCAAGCTAGCAATAATGAGTAAGGAACATTCAATCGGGTACAGAATCAGAGCAATTTTCAGGTCTGAAGGAAGGCGTCAGGAATCTATAACAAGAAATGAACCGAGGATACATACTTTGCGACTCGCGGATCTAGTATCGTGATTGTGTCTTCTCTTTTGCCTGCGACGTTTTACTCGATCGGGGTTGCGTTTTCGCCACTGGCTGATACAAAGTTAGTGAAGCACGGATACAAGAAGACTCCGTACCACGGGGAAATCATCAAGTGTGATTTTTCATACTTCTCCTTGCGACGGCTAGGAACCGGTGGTGCGACTTTAGTATGTTCATGGAGTGGGCTTGGGATCCTGAAAGTACTATCTTCAGCACTCGGGTCGATGTCATTGAAAATGTCGCCGAAATCACTGCTTTTCAACAGAATGGCGAATGCCGCTTCAAAGGTTGTTTCGAGATCCTCTGCGATGAGGGAGGCGGCGACGTAAGGACCCAGGACATAGTCAACAAAGTTCAGTGGAAATGCGAGTTCGGAGTTTTTGTCGGGTTTGTTCCATGGGCGAGGTGTATTGAGAAGTGAAGCGATGGTCTGATAAATCTGGTCTTGAGGGAGCGTTCCAGTGAGCATCTTGTCTATGGTGGTCATAATAATTGCTTGACTCTTGGGGCCAAAGCTGGAAAGAGGTAAGGATTCAGGGTACGGCCGAAATTGGCAGGCAACTCACTATCTGCACCGCTTCATTTGTTCAGCCGCATCGGAGAAAGTACCCACGGCAGCACGAGAAAATCCGTGGACCTTGCATTTAATAGCATCCAAAAAAGCGAGCCAAACCGGGAAGCTCTCAAGCTCGCTACTGTCGCATGTGGAGCAGCCATCCACTGGTTTGAGCTAAGGTACACAGTTTCAGACGGCAATTCAAGGCAGAAATGGCTCGACAGATTTGCCGTGTGAGTTCGTGAGCGCCGGAAGCAGCCTTGCCTTCTCGCGAAATCAAATCATGCTTCTGCCTGAATAAGAGCAAGATTCCTTCAATAGGTTCTTGAGGCACAGGTTCTTTGCAATAGTTTGGGGGGCAACAATCAGGAAGATCAGCGCGAGTGAGTTCCGGTAGTGAGATGGCTGGGACCGGTCGAGGAAGGGGCATAGGAGTGAGCGATTAAAGCAATACAGAACCAAGATGTATGGAACCGGGCGCCCAAGCAGTGCAGAGAGATCAGCGTCGCAAAGGTACTATCAGAACCCGGGAAACTGTGGACGGATGGAGAGGCAAGCTTCAGATCAGAGCCTATTTGATGTGGGAAGCTGGGTGTGGACGATGAGATGTCCGCAGATGTGACCTGAGCTGGATGCGAGCTAGAAAACGCTTCGTTGCCGGGACTATGGTGGTCGCGCTGGTTAAGACGTGATTTGGACGTGATGGCAAACAAACAGGGTCAAGCTTGGCAAATTCCGTACTCCAGCGGGAGATTTTTGGGACCGGGGCGCATTTGGGGAGGGTTGGGGACCCAAGCACCTATATGAAGTGCTTTTGGACGGAGTGCCTGGAGAGCACTCAGCTGGAGTGCCTCAAAAAGCACTCCCAATTGATGCCCCTATTTGGAGTGCCTTTTTTGCGTAATAAGTGCTTACGCACTTCATGTGAGTGCGTTTACTTCCCACAGTGCTTGAGAGCACGGCGCGCAATGAGCTTCGACTCGAGTTCTTTCCAAAGCTCTAGGTGAAGCACCGAAGGATCGAGACCGCTGGTGCACGAGCGGCGACGAACTTCGGCATCGTATGCGACGCAGAGTACCCAGTTATCCCCCTTGTTAGGTCTGTGAAGGATTCGGCTGTAGTGCTATGTGAGCAGAAGGCGTCGGTCAGATAGGAAAGTGGGACGTGTTTAGTCCAGCCTTGAATAAAACACTTCCGAATCGCGTCGGGCACGAGATGCGCAGCGTTGGTGGCGGTAAGACCAGGCTGGCGTTCTGACCGCTTGTTGGTGGCGAGGGCTTTATCGGTCGCATCGACGTGATCGACTATCGACGGGGATGGGGTGCGCACTGAATTTCATGTGTCAGGATTCATGTGGACGTACGAGAGTGAGTGCGAGGAGGAAATTTTGAATCGAGGTATGAATTTTGAGATTGAACCCGAAATTATATGAGTGCGAAAGTTGAAGTATGAGCTCAGAGAGATAATTTTTGAGTGCGGAATGGGAGGCAGGAGCTCGCGTTTTGGAATCGAGAGATGAGCTCGCAGGAGGAATCGCGAAAGGATCGGAGTATTAAATTTGAGTGTGTATTCGAGGCATGAGCTCGGAGTATTGAATTGAGTGCGAAAAGCGAGGCATGAGCTTGAGGTATTGAATTTGAAAAGTGAGGCATGGGCTCGGAATGACTGAGTTTGAATGTGAAAGTTGCGAGGCATGAGCATGTGGGTTGGCGCTGATATGCGCCTTGAGCGTTGCTACGGTGTACGCGGGGGGAGGGGGGAGGTGGAAATCGGCCATTGCGGCTAGGAGTTGCTGGGTATTCAAGGTAGCAAGGGTCTTGGTGAACTTGGCCGTGGTGAACAAAGAGAGATGAGGCTGAAAAGCGAGATTCGGGTCGTATCAAACGAGAGTGAGAGGACAGAGTCGGAGGATGTGGCGGTCCCAGGAGGATAGGAGCAAACACCGCCACATCCTTCCGTGGGTCACAAGATCATGCACTGCCTCCGCAAGCTACTCCGGTGCTCCCACACATATCGCCATTTCCACAGAATTCAATTTAGAAGGCGGTGTTCCGTACCACCATGTCTGAGCGATAACTCTTCATTTAAATCCTCTGTGTCCTACCATCTGCGCACCGATCAACTGCAATATGCCTGCCCGAAAGCGCAACAACGAAATGATTCTGGACGTTTTGAACGTAGGAGGTAAGGAATATCTATACGCTCCGGGTAGAATGCAATGGTCCCCAACGGGTACTGGCAAACGCGACGGTCATTAACGATCACCTCGTGCCGTATGACGGTCGGCACGGTATGCAGGGAAGAAAGAAAAAATGGTCAGCCGAATCCCCCATTCAGACATAGTGAGTCGAACCCCGGATTGCCTCGAGGATAAGAAGAAATCAGGCCCGAAGCCTCAATTTCAGACACAGGGAGTCGAACCCCGGACTGCCTCATCAATGCCGTTTCCACAGAGTTCAATTTAGAAGGCAATGTTCCGTACACCATGTCTGACTACTGACCTATATTTCAAGGCTCTTTATATATCAGGATCTCAACTCCACTCAACTCCCATTCCCCCGGCAATCCAAGAAGTTAGAACGGCGCAATTCGGTAGATTTCGCCCGCCCTGCGGCCAGGCGCAAAGAGAAATGATTATACCAATGGCCACCAGTGTGAGTATTGAGCGCAGTATTGCCATTTCTTGGAAATAAATCACATTGGACAGCGAAAAAAAAAAAAAAACGGCACGGACAGCCTATTTCAGACCCGAGGAGCCGAACCCTGGACTGCCTCAAGGATTGCCTCCGAGTTTCGAAGGAGTGAAGCAGTGTTACGTGCACCATGTCCGATTCCCATGAAAAGTACCATACAACGTGTCGGATGTTTTCACCTTCTGCTCAACCTCCTAAACCAGCGAACATCGAGAGCAAGAGGTGATTGATCTCTGGATCGCGGACTCTGATCTCCACAAAGCGAGATCAACAGCATCATTCGGCATTTCGGGTTCGGCACCTCTTGCTCTAACTCTTGCTCATCTCCATCCTATATGAGCCACAATTTACTGCCACAAATACTTTCTATCAGTGGCTAGAAGCCTACGTTTTACGAAGAAAACTCACGAAAGCAACTGGAGTATGTAAATAGATTATGCACCATATGCAGTTTTATGTTTCAAAATGAGTTCAGAAGTAAGCTACTAAGCATTCAAAGCATATTGGGGACACAATGAGTGCGCGACACGTTGAGAAGCGCGGCAATGCAACACAATTGACTCGGATGAGCCGTTGATGAAATTGATGCGGGTTGCCTTTTCTGGGGGGGGGGGTCGTGGGAAGGAGTCCATGATCCAGAGATCAATCACCTCTCGATCGAGAGCGAACTTGAACACGTGAGCCACACCTCTCCTTCATTTTTTTCAAGTCGGAGCGGGTACGGCGATGAGCGAGTCATCGGACCTTAATTCCACGACTGAGAGTTCCGTGGCGATGTTTTGCAAATACGGCAAGGAATACTCGGCCGGCGATCCGGGATAATATCCTCGCACTCCAACGATTCCGAGCAAGATTCTGGGGCGGGGTGGATCGACAATGAGCTGTCCAACATCAACCATTGCCGACGCCCACTGCGCCATCGGGCGGCCCACCCCTCCAATATACATCAGAGCACCATCTTGCCATTGACACCATGCTCCAGTGGTCATGTGCAGCACACATCTCGCGCCCAGATCTCGCGCCCAGGTGTCGGTCAAATCACAGGGGGATTGGAGGGAAGAAGGCGACGACGATTCCTCAGGAGAATCATGATCACGCCAGTCGACGCTCGATTAAACTCACCCTCGTACTTGTACGGCCGCACTTCGCCCAATGTGCTGCGTTGATTGGGTCTGAGTGAACTTCTTAATCTTGAATCTGCTGGCGCATGCTGGGCGCCAATTTTCGACTGATCAGCGCTTCAGCCCGGCGTCTCCAACTCGGCGGGTTCTCGGTGGGTTCTCGGTGCATCTAGCAATGCACGCTTGGCCCTGAGTCGAATTCTTCCTAAATTGAACCTGCAGACGCATCCTGGGCGCCAAATGGTCCGCTGCGCAGCGGTTACGCCCGGCTTCTCCAACCAGTTTTCCGTGGCCACATGACCAATGGCCAAATCCCCGCGTGCGATTTGGACACACATCCTGGGCGCTATTTTGCAAACTCATCGGCAAAACTCTCGGCTGCGTCTAACTAAGCGCCGAAACTTCTGTACCTCTTTTGCAAGGACGGCACGCTCTGCTTCCTCATACTGTAATATTCCCATGACCGTAAGGACTTCGGATTCTATCCTCGGTGCATACTTCTTCCGGGCATTCAAGTGCATATAAACGCGCCACCTCTCTATAACCGTCGACAGACATCCCCGAACCCCGCAGCACCCATCACATTCTGCATTATCGCCTTTTGCTTAAGATGGCTACGTGAGTCAATGTCTTGGTATTTACCTCCTTCGTCTCGTTCCTGACCCGCAACTCGCATAGCATTGACCCTACAAAGGTCGTCAGCAAGGCCGAGTTCGAAGCCAAGGTCGCCGCTGCATATCAGAACACAGCACGCGTCGAGACCCCAGCCGAAGATCTCCAGATATTGGCGAATTTGCTCGGTGTGTCACCAGGAACACTAGCGGGCAACGGTGCAGGCTTTGGGAAGGGGGGGGAAGCATGTGGTCACTGCGGCCGGGTTTTCAGCGTCCTCGACATAGTGGAAACGGGACTCCAAGTCCACGGCAAAGAGTTCCTGGTTGACGTTATCACCGGCAAATATGGGTATATCGCGAACAAAGGCGCGAAGCCATTCAATTGCCACAAATGTGGCACTGAATGCGGCGACCCTCCTCCTCCTCCACCCTATAATCTTCCACGATATTTGTGTACCAATTGAAGTGGACCACTGATGTATGTAGTAACCACGAAGACCTGTACATATGTATGTGTTTGTCTGTCTGAAGCCTTGCGTCCGGTTGAGTCACTCGGTTATGTGCCCATATTCTTGAACCTGCTTTTGCGTCCCAATCGCAATTTCATCCAGTTTGAACGTGCCTCTTAGACTGATCCGAGCCTCGTTTAGGAGTCAATAATAGTAGAGGCTTATTCCGCTCTGGTCGGATGAGGCAATAGTAGCTTCATTTGAGTCACAAGCGTCTCAATATAATCCAACAAAATACTCCGCCATCAGGGCGCATAGGGCGCGTGAGCGCTGCCGAATGGCACGTTCGGAACAGCCGGCATTTGTGATCCGACTGTTAGAATGGTGTGCGCATCGGTTATGTGGCTAAGCGGTAGTGCGCACACCATTCTAACACCGACTGACCATGAGCCTCAGGGGCTTCCCCGAAAGACGTTTAAAGAGGCTCGTTCTTCTTCGTCCGGCACATACATGTCTTTCGCATCTATATAGCCGATAAATTTCAGATGTACAGAGTCTTTTTTCTAGGGATACAACCAATAACGAAGTGATATGCGGATGAGAAAGAGCTGAGACAGGTCGATCAATACTTTGATGCCTTTGGAAGTCGCATACTGAGCTCAGGCCGGAGCCCAGCTCTCCAAGAAAATACATGGGGCCTATTTGGTGTAATAGAACACTTCAGTCTTCCATTGTTTTTTCTTAGGGCAAAATTGTTCTATACTGAGGGGAAACACTGCCTGCCGGGGTCGCGGAGACAGAGGTGTGCCAAACATTAGGACTGCTAACCGTACCGTATATGGGGACGGCCGTCAATTGATGGGTAATTAGGGCTGAAACCATCCCGTATCCCGTACCGTACAAAACAATTCCCAAGGTCTGCTGGTACGGTACGGCTCAAAAACGGCCGTATTACGGGAGGACGGTGAGTAAAATATTGAAATAGAGCTGTGCAGGTTAACTGAGGCGCCCGAAGTGCCACAATAATCTTCTTGGCAGTGATACGTGCAAGCCGGAGGTAGCCTCCGAGGTTCTTCTCCACGATCATCACGGTTTCCGAGCTCAACGAGGTCAACCTAGCGGTTGAACTCAGGGACGAATGGTTTTCTTACCAGGGACAAGACATTTCTTACAATTGTGATTTGAAGGAAATCTCGTGCGTTCTAATCACTCAAGGCAATATTCCTAGCAACTTTGTCACATTACAGTTGAGATGGATTTGAGTGGGAGCTGCACGTGCTGCACAGAAGTTATGGGGCGAGGGAAGTGGGCATAATATCTGGTGAGCTATTAGCCATAAGAGTGACAGAGTATACATGAAGCATGCTACTTACTCAGGCTGGGGTGAAAAGAAGACAAAAAATTCAACTTGCCATCAGTCCAGTGATGTTCGGCTGGAGAGTTGGCGGCATCCCAGATGCGGTGTTTGAATTGTCTCCGGCGTCGTTCCGGTGAGTGCCGCCTTGGTTCCATTGACTTCAACCCAATTTAAGGCCATTTGGACAGAACTTTGAATGCACCCGTAAATACGGTTTCAACACCGTATTCGGCCGTATTTTCGACGGCCGTTGTGGAAGTACGACTCGCCACACTCCACCGCCGCATCACCGCCGCTGAGTGACAGGTAACTCGGGACCTGTACGCTCATAATTCATTCGGTTCCCGTCGCCACGGTCTGGGCCTTAGAATATCATTCGATTCCATTATTTTGCTCCGCTCCATTCTCATACTCATGTTTCATTCCTCGCCGATCACCTCTAGAATGTTTCCTGTTTTGGTATCAACCCGGACGCGACGATGATCTTGGACTCCGCCACACTCGGAATGGGCTGGGGATCGACCTTCGACCTGGCCTGGGCATCCAACGTCGACGCTGATGGGGGCAGCACGTCTCCCTATCTGTCTTTGTCCATCTCCCGGTGTGTGCGTGAGGAACAGACATTTTAGCCGAAGGGTTTACAATGGACACTTACATACATTTATTTGCTGTTTCAGTTTTTCGCTCGCGGGCTCCGGTGTCGCAAGAGTACGCGAGCAGCCGTCCCCCTCTGTATAAATTCGCTCGGCCTATTACCGAGGAATTCATCTCTTTTCCCTCCGAGTTACACGTGCACGAGCAAACGAGTCACACCGAGCCAAATTATCAAATCTATTTTGAGCTAAGTTTTCAACCACAGTTCACACGCTAACTGTTCTATCGTAGAAACTCCCTCTTGATAATTAAGAGAGAGTTTTTGTTCGCAGCTTAACCCTCGAATCGAGTACGACCTTGGCACTTCTCTGTCTACCTCAGGACAACCTTTCTCTTCTTCACCGTAATAGTGTACGGTACGGTACGGAGAAACCCGTCCCGTAGGATAGAAGTGTTGAACGGGCGACGGGACGGTACGGCTGCCGTATTACGGAACCTGTATAACCGTCGATTACGAGGACAAAACTTGTTTTGACTCGTCTATATTCCTTCTCCAACCCTTGGCTCATCACCAGCCTCTGCGTTGAGTAACAAAACGAGTATAATGCACTAGAGTAGCTTACAATTTATTTTGGGTTGATCGGGGGAAAATTGAGGGAGAAATA